TACTTGGACCTTCCTCTGCTGCTTTTTCAGGCACATAAGCAGGGGGCTGAATCAGAAGCAGAGCTGCTAGGACTTGAACTGGTATTTACGATGGGTGCCAGCGTTGTAGGCAGCAGCTTAACCTGCTGTGCCAGACTTCCAGTCCCTTAAATTTTGTTAATAGAAAAATTTTATTTAATAAATATAAATTTCAAAAGTACAACTTTTGGATTATAGCGGTCCCCCCGCCCCCCCGTAACCACCCTCCTACCCGCAACCCATCCCATCTCCTACTCCCTCTTCCATCCCATTCTTTATTGAGATTCGTTTTTAATTATCTTTATATACAAAAGATCAACTAAGTGACGATTTCAAAAGTTTGCACCCACACAGACACACAAAGTATAAAGTAACTGTTTGAAGACTAGTTTTACCGTTAATTCTCATAGTACAACACATTAAGGACGGAGATCCTACATGGGGAGCAAGTGCACAGTTGTTGATCTGACAATTGACACTCTTGTTTATGGCGTCAGTAATCACCCGAGGCTCTTGTCATGAGTTGCCAAGGCTATGGAAGCCTCTTGAGTTCACAAACTCTGACCTTATTTAGACAAGGTCATGGTCAAAGTGGAAGTTCTCTCCTCCCTTCAGAGAAAGGTCCCTCCTTTGATGGCTCCTTCTGTCCACTGGGATCTCACTCACAGAGATCTTTGATTTAGGTCATTTTTTTGCCACAGTGTCTTGGCTTTCCATGCCTGAAATACTCTCATCCAGCCCCTTACATTAAACGTATTCTTCCAGCTGTTCTGAAACACACAGCGCTACTGAGTGCCGCCTGTGGTCACCGTGCAGTAAGTGGGTCGCTTTACCTACTGCCTCATAGAGGAAGCAGCTCTGGTCTGTCGTGTTCGCTGATTTCCAGGATGAAGACCGCCATCACGACCCCCTGCTGTGCGGTCCCACAGTGGCAGAGTCCCGCAGGATGGGGTTTAGAGCCGTGCTGGCCAGTGCCTCCTGTGTTCCACAGAGCCATTCCTGCGGTGCCACGGGCCAGAACTCGTTATTTTACACCTCTCTCTACTCTCACTTGCACAAGTACCTAAAAGCACCAGGTCCTGAGCCCTTGGCTGTTTTCTGACACCAACTGAGTGAGTTCTTGGATTTCTTCCTGTTCGGTTTAAATCTTCTGAGGTCTGCCTGATACTTTACGTTCATTTGGCCACTTGCCAGCTTCGTTTTCCTTGTCTTCCTCACCATGGTGGGCTTGTGGCTGAACAGCAGAGTCCTGTGCTGGGTCTGAGCCGGAGCTTACTGAGCAGCACAAGTGGAGGCGTGTGGTCTGCTGTCTTCATGGAACAGAAGTCGTGCTTCAGCTGCGCCATCGTACTCCTTGTCTTTACTGCCTTTCGTGTAGGGAAACTGGTATCGGACGGTCTACGTGAACGTGGGTCCTGACGGCCAGCCTACAGACGTGTGCACCCAGCGCACCTGTGTTGGCCTCTCTATTCCAACCACTCTGCTGAGCATTTCCAATACAAAGCTTAGAATTCAGGCGCTTAACAAGGAAATGTGGAACATATTGTTGTAAGTGTGTAATGGTAGTGGAAACAGTCCTGAGGCAGTAGAAGGCCCCGGTGTTTCCTGACTGGGTCAGAAATGTTTTGACACAGTGAGGCTACTCGAGCTGTGTGTTCGAAGGTGGTTGCTGAGGAAGGGAGGACGGAGGGTGTTTCGGGGGGAGTAGCGACTGAGGGGGTGGGGGGGGTGGGGGTGAGTATTCTCCCAGGTCAGAGTGGCTGAGCAGTGTTTGTCAGGGAAAGGGAGGTCTGGATTGGGTTTTGGAGGCTGTCTTATGGCATGGTAGGGAGCATGTATGTTAGGTCAGATGGAATCTGGAGGTATTTAATAAGAATAGGCGGGTGACAAATACTCCGTGTTCTTAAGGAATTCTGCTGACATGTGCTGGACAGTGGGGAACAGGTGCTGGTGGTTCTAGTATTTTAAGTAAGATTAAGAATGAAAATCTGAATTGAGACTGTGGTTTTTGAATCCAGCTTTGTTCTTCTTGACATAGAATTAATGGCGACTGAATCAGTGAGGGAAGTAAAAGAAAAGGAGTCATCAAGAGTTTTCTGTGATGGATGCTGCTGCCGTTAACTGAGATTAGAAATACAGTGACAATGAGTTTTAGGAAAAATGGAATGTTTTTAGTCTTCATTATGAGCATTTTTATATAATTGCGTAGAATACAGGTGGAGATGACTATTTAAAAGTGGAAATCTTGAGCCGCTCAGAAGAGTGTCCGTTTCTTTCAGACAGGAGGTTAAAGCAGGAAACCACCAGGAAGATAATAACCAAGGACAGCATCTGAGAGGGGGAGGTGGGCGGGGACGTGGGGCACACTTAGGAAGGCAGAGGCAGCTGTCTTTGTGTCCCCCTTCCCTAGCAGTGTTGTTAGGAAATGCTGAGTGGGTTCTCCTAAGCTACAGGAAATACTGACTAACTGCTGTGTCCACTTCCCCTTATGAAGAAAACTGCTAATGGCCTTTGAAGTCTCTCTGTATCCTCCTTTCTGTTCTGCCCCTCCTTCGCTCAGGTAAAACCACCGTCCGAGGTTATTTTTAAAGTGGACTAGAGAGACCTGAGAAGCGCTAGCATCCTCAAAGCTGGTGACTTCCAGATGCTCGTGGTGGCGTGGGCTGAGCCAGAGCTGAGAGCAGCGAAGCTGTTCAGGTCCCCCACCTGGAGGGGCAGCATTGCAGTCGCGTGAGCCATCACCACTGCCTCCCAGGAGGTGCATTAGAAAGCTGGAGTCAGGGCCGGCGCCAGCTGCTCGGATGCTACACCCAGTGACACAGCTCCCCGTCTGAAGTCTTTAAATCATTCTCTTGTACTTGTTTCACTACTTGATTTTTGGCGCTAAACAGTTTTATTGTTTTTTTGCATGTTTTTTGAGCTTTTTTAAAATTTTTTTTTTTGACAGGCAGAGTTAGACAGTGAGAGAGAGAGAGAGACAGAGAGAAAGGTCTTCCTTCCGTTGCTTCACTCCCCAAATGGCCGCTTCGGCCGGCGCTGCGCTGATCCAAAGCCGGGAGCCAGGTGCTTCCTCCTGGTCTCCCATGCGGGTGCAGGGCCCAAGCACTTGGGCCATCCTCCACTGCCTTCCCAGGCCACAGCAGAGAGCTGGACTGGAAGAGGAGCAACCGGGACAGAGTCCGGCGCCCCAACCGGGACTAGAACCCAGTGTGCTGGCGCCGCAGGCGGAGGATTAGCCTATTGGGCCGCGGTGCCGGCCAGTTTTTAAATATTAAAACAGTGTGACATTACTAGAATCAACTCACTTCAGTCATGATGTGTTAACTTTTTGAAAAATAAATTCTGGGAGTGGGAGTTTGGCACAGTGGTTAAACCTCTATGTGGGATTCCCACATCCTATATCCACGTGCCTGGGTTTGAGTCCTGACATTGCTGTCCTTTCTAGCTTACAGTTAATGCACACCCTGGAGACAGCAGGTGGTAACCAAGAAATTGGGTACCTGCATCCATATTGAATTCCTAGCTCCAGCCTGGCCCGGTTCTGGCTCTTGTGGGCATTGGGGAGGCCAACAGTAATAAGTCATCCTTCGCTTTGTCTGTGTGTGTGTGTGTGTGTCTATCTTTCACCTGCTTTTCAAATAAATAAATTCTAAAAATTGTATCTCTTCATTGGTGACATTGGCCTATAATTTTAATTTCTGGTACTACCTTGTCTAGTTTGGTATGTTACATTTGCCCTTATGAAATGAATTTGGCATCCTTTTTAATTTCTTTCAAAGTGTTTCCTAGTTTTTCATTATAGAAATCCTATACATACTTGATTAAATTTTTACTGGGTATTATTTTTCCAGTTATTATTATTTTAAATTTTTTTCTGGTTATTATCCTTTTTGGATATGCACAATGCAGTTGTTCCTTTTCTCCACATCAGGTTTTTGAGAATTGTACATGTTTAAGGGTGTAATTAGCTTAGAAGGCTTCCCTGTGTGAGTGTATCACAACATCCGTTCTGTGACTGCGGGCTGTCTTGGGTGTTTGCAGCTTGCTGTCGCAGCAGTACTTCTGTGGACATTCTCCCGTGTCTCGCTGGTCTGAGGGTGCACAGCTTACTCTGTGTGTGTGTCATTGCCGGTACTCAGTAGTTGTTGACCTTCAGAAATCCTGGTTTCGTATGGTTTAGGAGCGAAAGTGCTGGTTAATAAAGTTTTTCCCCAAGTGATGGTGACCACTGGCCCGCACAGTGCTAGGGGGTGGGGTGTGCTTGGTGCCACACCTTTGTCCACAGCTGACATTGCCACTGATCAGTCCGGTGTGGTGGAGCCGTCTCCTCGTTGTTCCTGCTGATGAGATTCAGCGACTCTTCCTTTGTTTACAGGCCATGATGTTTCCCCTCTGGTGAAGAGTTTGCTCAGCTTTCTGTTGCATTGTTTGTGAAGTTGACCTTTTTTGCTGGAATATGAATTGTTTGGTTGTTCTAGTAAATACTTATTGAACCAGTTCTTGGTTTAGGTTGTGCTTGTATAAAGATGGGTAAGATGGATGGCCTCGTACTTCAGTCTGTGTTTAATAATGGTTATGTTCAGTTGGATACGCTACACTTTGTGATCATTCTTCCATTCAAATATAGATTAGCTACATGAATTATTTCTAACTCTGCCTCTGTTTCAGTTTACTGTGTTGTGAAACAATGGGCTTTGACTAGTTAATATATAGTTTCCCTTTTTCTAGTAAATGTAATACATGTGTTTTTTTCTTACTGGTTTTTGCAATTTAGAACTCAGGTATTTTTATCATAGTGGTAAACGTCAAAGCATATCCCCCTTTTTTTCATTAACAGTGTTGGGTTTTAAGTTGGTTCTCTGAGGACCCCTCACTCACTTAGATGGATTTCCCAGAGATTAATCCCTGTTATTTTTAAAATTGTTAAAGTACTGTTAAACCTGTACACTCAGTCCTAATGTATGTGACTTGTTCTCTCTCAGAGTGAAGACACACAGCAGCAGATCATCAGGGAGACCTTCCACTTGGTCTCTAAGAGGGATGAGAACGTCTGTAATTTCCTGGAAGGAGGATTGTAAGTAAAGCATTTCATAGACGCTTCTGATTTTTGGACTGGATAATTAAAGTGTGTACTGTTACAGCAGTTCAGTGCAAACGTTTTCTAGTTTTGATTAGTTGAATTAGGTGAGATAATTGCTACCCATGTTAGCTATTAATCTAACTTAAAGAATTTCTTTTGAAGCTGTGCAGTCTGTTTTTCTTTTTAAAAATCTTATAAGGGCATTTTATTTAAAATTAATATGTTCATATTGGAAACATTCAAATGTTCCAGGGAAGAGTAGAATATTCAATAAGGGTCTCCCTCTTCCAGCCTTTGTTCTTCGTCCTGGTTTTACATTTCCTTCCAGAAAACAGATTTTGCACCGACCAGCATTTGGAAGTGTAACCTTTTTACTTCTGAGATCACACTATGTATGCTCACTTGTTGTTGTTTGGTTTACTTCATCTTAACACTTAGATTTGTAAAAATAATCATTTTATTTTTTTGAAAGGCAGGGAGAGAGATCTCCCATCTTCTGATTCACTCCCCAAATGCCTGCAGCAGCCAGAGCTGGCCTAGGCCAAAGCCAGGAGCCAGGAATTCTGTCTGAGTCTCCCAGCATGAGTGACAGGAACCCAGGTACTTGAGCTCCTGATAGTTCCACTGCTGCCCTCCATGGTGTGCGCTAGCAGGCAGCTGGAACTCGGAGCAGAGCTGGAGCTGTCACCACACGCTCTGATGCAGGACACAGGTGTCCCAAGCATTGCTTTAACCGTGGTGCCAAGTGCCTGCCCCTATGTAATGTTTTAACAAGTTCTTCCTGTGAGTACGTCTAAGGCAACCCTTACTCTTTTTTAAGACTAAAGAGTATTCCTTAGGGTAAATGTCCATAAAAATTTGGATTGTATCTTTTATTATTACAAGTAAAACTGAGGTTTATTTATTTATTTTTGACAGGCAGAGTTAGACAGTGAAAGAGAGAGAGACAGAGAGAAAGGTCTTCCTTCCGTTGGTTCACCCCCCAAATGGCCGCTATGGCTGGCGCGCTGCGCCAATCCGATGGCAGGAGCCAGGTGCTTCTCCTGGTCTCCCATGGGGTGCAGGGCCCAAACACTTGGGCCATCCTCCACTGCCTTCCCGGTCCACAGCAGAGAGCTGGCCTGGAAGAGGAGCAACCGGGACAGAACCGGCGCCCCAACCGGGACTAGAACCCAGTGTGCCGGCTCTGCAGGTGGAGGATTAGCCTAGTGAGCCGTGGCGCTGGCCCTGAAGTTTATTTTTCTAACGTTTCTGTCTTTGCACTATGTACAGATGAGAATTCAGCTAAAAGATTTTCTCTATTAAAATTGCCATTACTTATAATTAGCTTGCAAAATATATAAGTAAATACTTCTGAATTAATGGATTCCATGAAAGTAGTTTAATTCTAAATGTTTTCATAAATGTTGCCTCTTCTTTTATATAATTAATATACTTAATAAGATAGTTCCTTATTGATATTTAAAAATAAACTTCAGCTGAGATTTGTAAATAGTCACAGATTAGAGAAATTTGTATTTTTCTGTATTTTGTGTATGGTGCATGTTATGAAAACTAGTTCAGATAGCAGGGAATCCATTTTTACCTGACTTTAAGTTACTTTTTATCATGTGTAGTTCGTTGTGTTTCTTAAGTTCTATCCTACTGCACTTAAATGTATGGTTCACACTTAAAATATGTATAAATTTTGTTACCAATGCAGGCTTCTGTTTTAATAGTCGAGACAAATGTACCTGCTTCTGACTTTGAATTTCACTTGTACCTAATTCTCTTAAGTGTCTGTTCGGGTTTAATAGTGTTTGCCTTTACTATCACTTCTTGTCATCCCAGCCTCTTAATTTCTTCCCTCCCAGGAAATGTGTCTCCTAGCACAGTATATTGCATGCAGTAGAAAAGCAAGATGGAGCTAGCTAGAGTACTGTTTAAACCAGAAATCAGGGCCTGGAGTTATGATTATTCTTTCCCAACTTTTTATTTTATTTTATTTTTTTTAGTTTTTTTTTTTTTTTTTAGTTTTTTGAAAGGCAGAGTGACTGAGGGAGAGGAAGAAAGCAAGGAGAGAGAGTTCCTCTGTCTGCTGACCCAGTGCCCTGGGTACCCTCACCCGCCTGGCCAGGCCAAAGCTGGAAGCCAGGAACTCCCTCTTGGTACTTGGAGGGCAGGAACCCAAGAACTTGGGTCCTTATCTGTTGCCTGCCGGGTATGCACATTATCAGGAAACTGGATCGGTAGCAAGGCAGGATTCCATCGCAGGCAAACACCTGCCTCCAACCTTTTGAAAAGTAGAAAATAGATATTGCATCTTAGTCTCAGTGTTATCACCATCAAGTTTGTGTCCCTGGTCCAGTCACTTTAATTCTTGAAATTCAGTTTTCTCCACTAAGATAAACTATTTGGACTGAAGTTTATGGTTTTATATGGTGACTTACATTCCATACAAGAGTTTGGGGTAGTGTTATACTATAATTTCAAGATAAAAATTCTTAAATACTTTTTAAAATTTTATTTGAGAGACAAAAGATCCACTGGTTTTCTCCTCAAAGACTTACAGTGGCTGGGCTAGGCTGGGCTGGGCTGAAGCTAGGATCCAGGAATTCACTCCAGGGACCCAATTACTTTATCCATGCTTGCAGCATCCTAGAGTCTGTGTTAGGGAAAAGGTACCCTTGCTGTGGTAGTATTTTTGCTGTCTTCTGTTAATGTTAATGGCTGTGTTGGAACAGCTTTCAGAGGCCAGGTTTCCTCCTTTTAGAGGAAAAACTCAAGGTCGTTGCTGAATTGCTGTTTGTGAAAGCGCTGTCTGTACTCTTTGTATCTCTTTAGAGAAACAGTTGCAATCATAGCCCATAAACATGATTTCAGAATCTTTGAAGTGCATGTGTATACTTTTAAGTTAAATACCTTTCCCAGAAAAGTATCTAACATAGTAGGAACTTTGGTTTCTTGTTAGGGGACACAGATGTAGTGCATACACAGAGAAGGTGGGAGCTCAGGGGTTAACTTGACTCAAATGAGAAATGATGTCTAATTCCATATGAATGTTTGATTAGCTTTGACAACATTTAACGTTACTTTCTAAATTGTTAGTGTGTAGGGGTCTTTTGAGAAGGCAAGCTCATAAACTTAAAAAGTGTGAAAGCTTAACTATATTTAAATTCCAGTCAATATAAATAAAAGTATTTGATGGAAGAACTGAGTAATAGCTTAATTCTCTTGCATTTGTACTCAAAACAGCATATGTTTTTGTAGGCGACCTAGATGGTAAATCTGTCCCAAATTTAAGAACTTTCATTCTTTTTTTTTCCTAGTTCATAATCAGTCTTAAGCTGTGTAACTTACTGTGACCTGTGGAGTTAAATCTAGTAAGCACTTGCAGACGCCCTCTGTCCTAATCTCTGCTTCTTCTGACCTCACTGTCACTAATCTCTCCTTGTCTGCTGGCCTGCCTTTTCTTCTACTCCTTCTCGCTGCAGTGCCCTTTTGTTAGTTGCACCTGGCGCTGACATGCTCTTCTCTGAATCCCTGAGGCCCACGGCACTCTCCTCATCTCCCTCACCTCCCGGCTGAGGAGGCCAGCCCCTCTGGAGGCCTCGCCCTGCTTGGGTTCTCTGTGTGGCACCTTCCACTGACAATTTTCTTGTTAGTTGCTCTGTATCCATCGTCAGTGCTTGACACATAGAATTAATCACTGAATAGTTTAACGAATGAGTGAACTAAAATTAAGCTTTTTACTTTGTCTCTAAAGAAAATAGCTGTCTTAATTCGCTTAGTCTCAGAAGTAAGTTCTCTTGAATGCTTTGCCACTAAATGTTATGTTTGGTTAATAAAAGATTTTTAAACACATTGTCAGTTTGCTTGAGCTAATGAAAATGTTCTGTGTTTTGTTCCCTATAACATTTCACTTGTTTTGTTTTGTCATTTAGATTAATTGGAGGATCTGACAACAAACTGATTTATAGACATTATGCAACGTTATATTTTGTCTTCTGTGTGGATTCTTCAGAAAGTGAACTTGGCATTTTAGATCTAATTCAAGTAAGTTAACATTTGCCTCTTACTGTCTTAAATAACAGTTTGGCATTTATATTTTTAAAAACTTACATTTTCTAAATTTTCTAAAGTGATGTTTTGTTTGGTAAGAAAGTGTCCACAGTAGATACGGGGTGGATCAAAGAGGGACAGGGGATGTAGAACAAGTAGATGGGGGCCGGCGCTGTGGCTCACTTGGTTAATCCTCCTCCTGTGGCGACGGCACCCCATATGGGCGCCGGAGTCTAGTCCCGGTTGCCCCTCTTCCAGTCCAGCTCTTTGCTGTGGCCCGGGAGGGCAGTGGAGGATGGCCCAAGTGCTTGGGCCCTGCACTCGCATGGGAGACCTGGATGAAGCTCCTGGCTCCTGGCTTCGGATCGGCGCAGTGCCGGCCGTAGCAGCCATTTGGGGGGTGAACCAATGGGAGAGAGACCTTTTTCTCTCTGTCTCTCTCACTGTCTAACTCTGTCAAAAAAAAAAAAAAAAAAAAAAAGTAGACGAATTTAATCTGATTTAGACCAGTTATGACTAATTCCATCTGTTCCCTTCTCTTTCTTCGTGTTTCCTGAAAACCTTTCGTGACGTCCTGGAACTCCAGGGCTGTGATGAGCAGACTCCTCCTTGTCCTTAGCCTCTTCCATGCTGCTCCACTTTGCTCCACGTTAAATCCTGCCTCCTCTGTTACACCACTTCCGGCACTCTCAAGAAGTAGCTCTTTGCCCTCTTGTTCTTTTTGGTTTTCACTGTTTTTTCCAGAACGGGTTGTCTCCTGAAACATCTCCACATTTTGTCTCATGTTGTCAGCTCTAACTCCTACCCATCTGCTTGTGGTTCTCTCTCTACCTTCGATCCTTTGGAGGTTTCGTCAGGAAATCTTATCCAGCTTGGAAGCCGAAAACTTGACCTTTATGATTAGCAACGTAAGCATTAGCCACAGTAAATAAATAAATAGCACATGAGCCAAAGTAAAAGCATTTGAAGAGGGGCACACACTGTGGGTTGAGTTATGAGTGAGGAACCCTGACCTTAGAGAATTGAACTCTTCTATAATTAGCACTGTTTCTTTTTTTTTTTTTTAAGATTTTAATTTTTTTAAATTTGTAGTTTTTGGCAGATTCAGTGTAGTTTGCAGATGCAATTCTAGGATTATAATGCTATTCCCCTCCTTCCTCACCCCTCCCACTCTGTCTCTCCTACTCTCCTCCCTCTCCCTTTCTTTCTTCACTTTACTGGTTTTTGAGATAACATTTTAAATTTACATTGCAGTACACTGTCTTTGCTTCCTGGGGGAAGGTAAGCCTATCCATAGTGTGCTTGCAGGGAGAGCCCAGAGCAGAGACCACCATGCCTCTGCTCACAGTCTGTGCAGGAATACCCCACCCGTGGAGAATTGTCGCCCACTGGACTTTGGCTCTTAGTTTACCGACATTCACTGCCTTATTGGAATTCTTGGTGATTTCATCGTCGATGTATGTAATTCTCTCTATCCTGACGTTTTCAGGCCTGCACCTCCTCTCCTGTGAGTTTTGCTCTCTACCCCTTCTCACTGCTCATTTCCACACCGTGCTTTTAATCCAACTGCGTTGCCTCCCTATTCTTAACTTCACACCTTCCTTCCTTTGTGTACCACTTCTTTTTGCATTATTCTTTCTATTACTATTATTACTTTCTATTACTATTACTATTATTATTATAATTACTATTACTATTATTATTCTTTGTATTATTCTTTCTATTACTCCCAACAGATTTTTGGACCTGTTGGGATCCACAGTTTCTAAGTGAATGTCTTGTCTTTCCTGATGTCTGACTTTGCTTTTCCGGCTTAAATGCCATCGTCACTTGTGATTCATGATTGTGGCCTTGTATACGCTTGTCTCCTTGCCTGTGCCGGCACATACGAAGATACCAGTGGAAGAAACTGTCACCATACTTGCTGCTTTCACTTTAAATTCATGATCTCTACCTTAGCCGGTCCTTAATGGTACCTGGAAGTCGTATTTCCCTGGTCCATGTACTTTCCATCTGCCTAGATGACTTATGCATACATTGTCTCAGTCCTTTAGCACTTAGCACCTTGCTTGCTTCCTGGAGAAACGAATCAATCTGGAGAGACTTTGCATGGCCCCCATGGGTGCGTCCGTGTCTCTGAGATCTGGGGACTTTGCACGGCCCCCATGGGTGCATCCATGTCTCTGAGATCTGGAGAGACTTTGCACGGCCCCCATGGGTGCATCTGTGTCTCTGAGGTCTGGGGACTTTGCACGGCCCCCATGGGTGCATCTGTGTCTCTGAGGTCTGGGGACTTTGCACGGCCCCCATGGGTGCATCTGTGCTCTGAGATCTGGAGAGACTGTGCACGGCCCCCATGGGTGCATCTGTGCTCTGAGATCTGGAGAGACTGTGCACGGCCCCCATGGGTGCATCTGTGTCTCTGAGATCTGGGGACTGTGCACGGCCCCCATGGGTGCATCTGTGTCTCTGAGATCTGGGGACTGTGCACGGCCCCCATGGGTGCATCTGTGCTCTGAGGGTGCACTCACGTGCTCCTAGCTCAGGCCGCCTGTGCGCTCACACGTTCGTTTCTGCTTCCTCATTGCTGCAGCAGCCCTTCTTTCTTTTGTGTCATCATTTTTTTTCCTGTCTTCTAGATCATTCCAAGCAGCCTACAGTAGTTTCCCACCTTAAAAAAAAATCCCGTCTGTGCTTCCCTCTGCAGCCACGCCTCGTTTCTCTCCCTTCCTTTACAGAACGCTTTTGTAGAATGTATAGAGCTGTCTGAAACTTTGTTCTGGTGTTCTCTCCCCAGTCCATTCCAGGCAGGCTTTCCGCCCTTCTCTTCATGAGTCCAGGGTCCTGTCAGCCTCCTGTGTTTGATAAAGATTGTTGACCTCTCCTCTCTGCCGTCTTCACTTGGCTTCTAGAACTTCCCTGCCTGGCTTCTGTCCCGTCTCTTTAGTGACTGCATTTTTCCCGCTGATCTGTCCTACCTGTAAATGATCACGCCTCCGGGTTCCATCCTCGCTCGGCTGCCTTGTTTTTGACTCCATTAATCTCCGTGCTCTGACCCAAGTGTCATCTGTACACTAAAGACGCAGACTGGAGTCCTCAGCTCAGACCTTTCCCCTTAGCTCCTCACCAGGTCACCCCATTGATTCGTGGACGTCTCCACTTGGGTGTCTGATACAGACCTAGAACTTAATGTGTCCTGAGCGAAGACCTGTGCCTCCCATGTCGGCTAAAGACAGCTTCACTTCTGCGGTGGAACCTGCCGGTGCCTGCTGTGTGACCTTGCCTCTCGTTCTCTGCCCACCACGTCTGCTGCTTCAGCACTTCCTGTTGGATATTTGGCATCTGACCACTTTTTTTTAAGGGTTTATTAATTTATTTGAAAGGCAGAGTTACAGAGAGAGAGAGAGAGATGGCGAGGCACAGAGAGAGACCTTCCATCCTTTGTTCACTCTCCAAATGGTCGCATCGGCCGGAACTGGGCCAAAGCCAAGCCAGGAGCCAGGAGCTTCTTCCGGGTCTCCCATGTAGGTGCAGGGACCAAGCTCTTGAGCCATCTTTTGCTTCTTTTCCCAGGCGCGTTAGCAGAGAGCTGGAATGGAAGTGGAGTAGCCAGGTCTCAAACCAGCGTCCATATGGGATGCTGGCACTGTCGACGGCAGCTTTACCCACTATGCCACAGCACCAACCCCTTCTAACCACTTTTGTACCCTCTCTCCTGTTGCTGCTGCCCTGTTCATGGCCACCGTCAACTCTTGGCCTGGTTACTGCAGCCATTTCTTGGCTGGTCTCTCCTTGTGCTGTATTTTTTCTCTTTGGTCTGTCTCAGTGCAGTGGCTGGAGTGATGCTGTTAAAATGTGCCGCATCTTACATTTTTCCATTCTGAACTCTTGAGTGGCTTCCGTTTTCACTCAGAGTAAAAGCAGAATTCCTTACAAAAGATCCCTGAGAGGCCCCATGCGGTCTTGACTGTCGTTGGCCACACCCGTTACTTATCTTCTCTTGTGCCCTTTGCTTAGCCTCCTTGCCGTTCCTCGGGTATACCCAGCGCACGTGTGCCTCAGAGCCTTGGTCCATGCTGATCCTGCACCTGCAGCGTTCGTCCATCAAACAGTGTTCTCTGCCTTGCCTTGAAAATGCTCCTTCTCTTGGATATTTTCTAACTCTTTCACCCTAGTATTTCCTCCATAGCACTTATCACCATCTAATATACTATGTAGTTAATTTAGTTCATCTTATGTATTATCATTTGCCCTTATAAGAATGTTGGATCTATGAGGTGCAGGATTTTTGTTTCTTTTGCTGATTTATCCTCGTGTGTAGTCTGACACCTTACAGATAACAAGTTCTCATTAGGTAATTGTTGAATGAATGGTTTAATGCCTCGTGTTCGGCACTCTATGTAAAGTAACTGACAATAAAGCTCAAAGGTTAATTGGGATAAGAATTCGCTAGGAAAATAAAATGTAGTAGTAGATTTTTGTTTCTTTTAATCTGAGTGCTGCTCACATTGGTGTGTTTGAGAATTAAACTCTATAATTATAGAAACCTAGAGTTTTTCTACTTGATATATACGGTATTTCTATTGAAAGGTAAAAAATACTCAGCAAAAATTAGTTACCACAGACGGTATTGATTAAGATTATCATGAGGGGATACACTGAGATGTTTTCTTTCTGGAATGTGCAAAAAAGTGAATGTGGTATAGGTGAGCTGTAAGCTGCGTGTGAAAAGGAAGTTTTCTTTGTCGAGAATGTTTTAATGTTTTTGAAATCAGGAGGACACACGGTTTGAGTTCCAGTTAGTGTTCAGAGTAACGAGAAGCTAGCAAGCAGAAAAGTAATACATTTTGAGTGAGTGTCTAATATGAGAAGGAATAGACTGAGGCTTTAGATGCTGAAAATGTCTAATAACAAAAGAGAAACAGAGGCTGGGGAGCAAATGGAGCTGCTCCAGTGCCCCTCGCTCCACGCCCGGTGCTGAAGCTGGTGAGGAG